GAAATCAGTAATGACTTTCCTACCATTGGGTAAAGGCAGTTTTCATATGAATGCAAGAAACAGAAAACTTTCCAAAATACAATCCAAATTCCTCTTTTAAAGCTGCTGCTAGAATACTCAAAATACTTTGTAGGTCTGAAGCTCCTAATTCAACTGTTTTTGTAGTATATATTTATGCTGAATATATTTAAATAAAAATATTCTGCGGGGCCTTTCCTCTACAATGATTTTAGAACTCCTTCTGGAAAATATTAGTATAATAGCAGGTATCACTGAGTGACCTTTCAGTGCGTAGGCAGCTCTAAACCCATTAAAATAATATTCTCTGTGTTTGCATCTGAATGTGTACACACGTATTTTGTGTATATTGGTATATTATTAACCATCCATATTTACACACAAGCACACAAAGAAAATTAAATGTGTGTCAATAGTGGTATAAATAGCTGACATCCTCTCACTGGTTCCTGCGACACTTAGAAATGAAAAAGCTCTCATCCTCCCATCCCTCTGGAAGACCATGGGGCAGAGAGACTCAGGCAGGTGAAAGCTCTGGTTGCTCTTAGGCCCTACAAGGGCAATTCTGCTGGAGAAGGGACTGCATGGACAACAGAGGTGTACTGCCTGAAACAGGTACGAGGCTGCTTCAGGTTGTGAGTTCAGTACAAGGGTGGCTGGATAAGCATCCCTTGCTTCTCTTACACAGAAGGCTGGATTAGGTGGTGTCATCTGGTTTTGCAATCTGTGAATCCCAACTTCTCCACCTGGCAGTGCTGTAAGTGAGAGATTGGGGCTGACCCGTGACAATCATGTCAAGCTTTAGGCTCAGCCTGCAGGCCCCTCTGAGGATGATTTGTAAGGACACTGACTACAGCCTCGAGCTTTCAGAGATTGTCCTCACTGGAAAAAGGCACACGAGTCATTCAGTTTTCTTCCTAAATGCAATGTCATCTTTCCCTTCTCATTAGATCCCATTCAGCTCAGTGGGCTTTGTATGCAATACAGCAAGGGAAGAACAAACCCCTTAGGATAATGACAAATCCTCATACCAATTCTGTCAGAATAAGTTAATCTATCAGGTAGCAAGCCCAGAGCCAAGTATGGGCTTCTCTGCCCCTCTTTTACTGGGCCGGAGTGCGACAGACATTTGTTCTTTCCTACCACCAATATTCAGATGGGGTATGGAGAGAGACGGCTGTTTTGTTTAGAGCCTTTGCAAGGCGGCTGTAAGCTTTATTTCTATAAGCTGCTGAAATTCAACATCAAGAAAGTAATTACCCTTGTTTCCCCTTGCAAATATTAAGCATATCTGAGCCATGCTTTCTAGTTACATGATTTTTTTAGCCTTTTCTTCAGGTTACCCACATAAAGCATTTTCTATAATTTCTTTTGTGGATCCAATCTGACCTGTGTTTATAAAAGTACTCTCCATTTGACCTTCATCACCATAGCCCATTTTAGTCTCGGATTCACTTTCGCTCTAACTGACCTGGTGTGATCTCAAGCTTATTGCCATACATTATCTATGCCAAAAAAAAGCTGAATCACAGGCTGAAATTAGAGACTCTGGGTCAGATTCTGAAATCCATGCCTGAGCACAGCCTGGGTAGAACAAGCCAAATGAAAATTTTCCCAGCGTGAAAGCAGGGAACACGCAGCTGACATAAGACCAGCAGATTCACCCTTCATCCTCCTTTACTCCTCCTCCAGTGCAGAGGGCATGATGGAGAAGAAGAAAGGTAAAGTTTTTTCCCTGCTATAGCGATGCTCTGTTTGGATCCCGCAACAACCCTTAAGTAATAGTTATGTTAGCTGAAAAATATTGGGTGGACAACCCTTCCAGGTAACTATTCCAGGCTGTGTTTTTCATTCCTGAACTGGAGGTTAATTGTGCTGGAAGAAACGCAGCAGGTCCTTCTTCCCAAGCAACCGAGACACCAGGCACCCGTATTTTGCTGTGTGAGGCAGCAGTTTTCACCCCGCCCGAGCTAGAAGCTTGGTGGGAGCTGCTGGGAGCTGCTGCCTCTCAAGGGTGTTCTGGCTCCCAGCTCCCAGCCCCGCACCCAACCCTGCTGTGTCCCACTCAAACCCTGCCCACGTGCTGGTTTTGGCACTGCAGTTGCTGACACCAGAGCTGGGGCACTTCAGTGGCTCTTCAAATATATGCCAGGACTCAGCTCGGTGCAGATGAGCCCTCAGAGTCAGAGACAACTAATGCCTTGATAATCTCCTCCCACATCCCTGCTCCCCCTCCCAGGCTGCTGTGCTGAGCAGAGCTTAGGCACAGGGGAAAATCATTCCCAGTGTTTTTAATGCTGGTGAAGCTCATGCAACATTATTTACAAAAATTCTTCCACTTGGAAAAATGACTCCATAAAAATGTCATGGCAGGATTTCATGTTTATTGTCTCTCAGTGATTACCATGACAAATCTGCTAATTTGCCAAGTAGAGAGATATTTGTTTGTTTTCAGATGGCAACCCTGCAAACCCAGCCTGGAATCTGAAAAGCAAGCTGGGGCCTCTCTGGCTCCTGTATCCCCAGCAGCAGAGACTCCATGCTCAGACCGTAATCAACACTTCTGGTGATGGTGCGTGAGCCAAAACAGACTCCGGGCCCTTCTTACTGAGCTCAGCTGAATCTGCAAAGCTAAAATATATGGGATACCTATTTTAGTCTAAGAAAAGCAGATCTAAGTGTGCAAGGCATGAGCTGCATAGGGGGGGAAAAGGCATTTTTCTGCAGTCGCTTTCAGGGCAGAGTTACGGTCTAGGCTGTCTGCATATTCCCTCCTCTGAGACCGGGTTTTATTTAGCTCTTGGGTTTGGACAGAGAAAGGGTTGAGGTTGGAGAGTTTGAAGGTATGTTGAAAGGTGAAGAGGCAAGGCTGGAAGAGCAGAGAAAGACTTGTGGGAACTGAATCAGGAGGTGGAAGGGGAAGGGTTGGGGAGATTTATGGAAAGGCAGGGAGAGAGGGGAAAGGGGGGAGAAGCAGAAGGAAGGATAACAGATGGGGACAAGGAGAAAGATACTTGCTTTTGGTGTGAAGCTCTTGCAAAGAGCAGGCACAGCTAATTTCCCCTGGTTCTCTGTGGACTTGTGTCCCAGACTGGGGTCACAAGAGAGGTGGCTAATCATGTCACATTAACTTCTCTCTTGGTTTCTGTTGCCTGAACCCCAGTTCTCCTGTGCTAGAAGGATGGCAAGATCTCAGTAAGTTTGTGCTGCCAGGAGGCAGGAGGTGGGTGACAGTGGAGAGGGTGAGTGGACCTGGATGAAGAGAATGAGAATATCTCCGCTGACATATGGGGAACCTGCAGGCTTGTAGGATACAAAAACCTACAGATCCCCCACCTCTGCAGTGGGCAAAAGATCCCCCTCACCTGCAGTACAGTGAGTGAAATCCCTCTCCTCTCTCTAATTGCAACACACTCCCTGCATGACAGATATCCCTATTCTATCACCAGCAAGGTGGTTATGGAGCATTTTCCGGAGCCTAACACATAAGGATTAGGGCTGTAGCTGTAACCTGGAGCGGGTCCCAGCCTCTATTTCAGGTGAAACAAAGTCCTTTGCAAAAGCTGTCCCTGGCCTCCAAAGAGGGCTTTGTTAAACATGACCAATTGTCCCTCTTGCCCATTTCCCCACCACTGCTCCCCGCACACATCTACCCGAGGAAGATCATGTCCCCCCCACCCCAGGAGCCCTGGAGGAGGAAGACGCTCCTCATCTCCGAGGAAGGAGTCCTTACCTGAGAAGAACTGGCTGATGGAGTGAGGCAGAAGAGTGAGGAAGGCCAGCGGGTTCGCAAAGGACATGGAGAGTGCAGCAGAAATGTAAGCCATGCCTGCCACCAGGGAGTCAAGGCAAGCCAGGGAGGTGTAGAGGCAGAACATGATGAAGTTTCGCATGTTCCTGCTCCCGATGCAGTTCCCTGTGAAGAAACAGTGGTGGTCATGCCTCTGGGTGACTCTGGCACACAGTCTACAGAAGTGAGTGCTGGGCAAGGCTGAGTCTCCCACCCAGCCAGTCCGCCACCACTTCGGCTCCTTCGCCCAAGTTTAAGCCCTTGCCCAAGTCCTCGGGGGAGCTCTGGATCACAAGGACGTAGTTGCCCAGGGCATTAGCTGAGAGGAAGAGGAAGAGGGCCCCATGCAGCAGAGCAGGAGAGAAAAGTGGGGTGGTGGAAGGGTCTCTGAACATGCTGGGGATGAAGAGAAAGATCTGGAGGACGAAGGTCACTAGGGAGATGCACAAGAAGTAGGCTGGAGCGACAACATTGAGCAACCTGAGAACTAGCATTGTGGATTACGTTCCTGCAGGGGAAAGCAAGGAGAGAAGGAACATCACCGCTCCGGCTGCACACTTCATCCTTCCATTTCCTGCCGGGTCCTGGCCCCGTTGCCT